CGCAGGCTGGGACTACGCGTTCCAGGATGCATTGCGCCCCGCAGCCGAGGGCGGGGCCGTGGTTGCCCTTGGCAACAGCGGGGCTCCCAGCTGGAGCTGGCGGGAGGGAAGGAGCACGACCAGAGAGGGACGCAGGTGGAGGGGACCCGGGCGGGCGGGGTGGTGGCGGCAGGAGGAGACCCGCAGGGCCGACGTTCACGTTCGGAGAGACACCCCCGCCCCCCCAAACCCTCGAACAGCTGCGCAGAGAACTCCAGAGCCCGAGAGGGACAGGGACTGAATCGCAGCAAGACCTGGAGGGAGGGAGAGACCCCACCCCAAGGAGCAAAGAGAGATTCATAGAGTCAGAGACACAAGGAGAAGCGGGCGAGAAAGGGACAGAGATGGGGGGCGAGAGGTAGCGAGACCCCCGCGCCCCAGGAACAGAGGAGGGATTGGGTTAGGAGAGACACCGCAGGGAGAGAGGAAGAGGCAAGCAGGCGAACTGAGGGGCTGAGACAAAATGCATTTACAAAGGCCGGCTGGCTCGGTGGATTGAGCTCGTCCCATGGACCAAGAGGTCCCGGGTTCGATTCCCAGTCAGGGCACATGCGCGGATTGCGGGCTTGATCCCCAGTGTGGGCCGTGCTGAGTCTCTCTCATCATTGATGTTTCTCTCTCTCTCTCTCTCTCCCTCTCCCTTCTTCGAAATATCTTAAAAAAAAAAAAAAGATGGCTAGGGTTGAGAGAGAAATGAACTCTCCTAGAGAAAGACACAGCGGGGGTGATTGACAGAGACACCCAGTCAGCGAGAGACAGAGAGACACTCAGAGACGGAGCCCAAGGCATTTGCAAAGACAGGTAGAGAGAGAGAGGGAGGCATTTGCAAAGACAGGTAGAGAGAGAGGGGGGATTTAGGGAGCGGCCCCCGCCCAAGGCCCAGAGAGGCCCACAGGATGAGTGACAGACGCAGATGGGAGAAAACAGAGCAAGAAAAACGCTCAGAGACCAGGAACGAAAAACCCACCCACCAGAGAGCGGGCGCGCGCCAGGAATCCACGGGGAGGAGCAGCCACCCCCGAGAGCGACACCCCCAGGGGGAGACAGAGACAGAGAGATTGAGAGGCCCCGAGAGAAAAGTCAAGACTCGGGGTGGCCTCGGAGACACCCAGCTTCCCCGTGCACGGCTTGCTGGGTCCCCGCCCCCGAGTGCAAAGTTTGGGCATTGAACCAGAGTCACAGCCAGAGACACAGCGATCCGAGGGGTACCGGGGGTGCCGGGGTACAGGAGCCAGGAGGCGCTCGAGTGGGGGCCGGGCGACAGATTGGGGTGGGGGAGGGCCCCGCCCG